CGGGCATGAGCCCACTCGCAGCGGCGCGCAAGGCCGATTGGGTCCTCTTCGTCGCAGCGGCCAACGCGGCGGAGGGGGGCGCATCGCCAGCTCCCGAGCTGGTGCTGTGCACCACGGTCGCGCGCCTGATGGCCGAAGCGATCGGGGCGGTCCGCCCGATTGATTACTCGGACGCGGCCATGCGCGATATGTTGATTGCGGCCCTGAAGCCAGGCGCGAAGCCGTTTGCGGGCGATTCTTCCGCGGAGTGGCGCGATTTCGCGATTAAGCCGTGCCACATCAATATGGCGCTGCGGACACAGTCGCGAGCGATGGATGCCTTCGGGCGGAAGGCCCCCGCCCCGTTGGTGCGCGAGGACGCGGGCCGCCGCACGGCGTGCCGCCAGGAGGGTCAGCAATCGGCCCCGGCGGAGGCGGCCGCCAAGCCCGCGGAGGAGACGACGCGGATTGCGGCGGCAATGGAAGAATACGTGAAGGCCAGCAAGGAATTGCTCGAAGAAAAGCGGGAGAAGCCGCTGGCGTTTGCCATGGAGGCGCGCCGCGTTTTCGCATGCGCGGGCGGCATTGTTCGGGGATGCGCGCCTCGGCAGGACCGTGTGCGCGAGGTCTGGCTCGGCAAGTTCCCCCGTGAGGGATTGCCGACCGAGGAGTCGATGCGCAAATTCGCGGCCGCGGGCCGGACGGCCCAGTCCCATGGCCGCTCATACATTGGGAGCGCCGAGGGCGAGAGCCTGCAGGCTCCCTGCTCGGCGGCACGTGCAATGACAAGCTTCCGTTTCGCCGATTGCTCCGCGCGCAGGACCACTGCAAGCCCCAATGGGCGCGAATGCCGAAGCTGGACTCGGTACCAGCGGGGGCGGGCTCGTGGCGCGATCGCGCGTCGGCCGTCACCGCGGCGAACCGCGCGGGTGCGGCCCTGGACCGAATGGATTTTCTCGGTTATGCGCACTTCCAGGGCGCGCGCGACGCAGCGCAGCGCGCGCGCCCACGCGCGCCCCGTGGCGCGAGGCCCACGTAATGGAGTGGGGGCTTCGCTGCATCCTGTCCAAAGTGTTTGATCCCGTCGTGCTATTGGGATACATGTACCAGCTCGCGCGCGTGAGCGAGGAGCACGGGGGCGTCAAGGCGCGTCCGCGGAGCGGCGGGCCCGATGCCCAGGGAGCCGCGCGCGGGAGCCCGCGCCGCGTCCAGGTTTCCTACACGTACGATTTGCTTCTCCGCCAGAAAGTGGCGAAAGACCTGGAACACGGCGACGAGGATGCGACGGCCTCGTTCACTGCGTTGTCGTGGGACATTCTGCGCGCCGCCAAGGAGCGCAGCGCTTTTGAGTGGCCGCCGCCCTGGCATCGTGCATCGCGCTGCGCGCTGTAGGAGAGAGTCCAGCAGTCGGACCGCCAGGCGGCGTTCGCCAAGGGCGGGGGCAAGAAAGGCGGCAGCGACCGGCGCGACCAGGCGCGAGCCCGCGCGCGCGCGCCCCGCGAGCGCGAGCACGCGTCGCGGCGCGCGAGGCTGCGAAGCCACGGACCCCGGTGAGCCCTGTCCTCCGCCAGCGCTCGCGCAGCCCCCGCCGCGATACCTTCAGCAAGAAGGGGAGCGGAAAGGCCGGCAAGGGAGGGGCTCCCAAGGACGCGGGGAGCTCGTGGCACAAGCCTGAGCGAAAGGAGTCCTGGCGGTGGTGAAGCCAGGGCGCCGGCGCTGTGCATGCTAATTATTCGCCCGCCCGAGGCGCGCTCCGCGCGCGCGCGCGCGCGCCCCCCCGCGGGGGCGCCGCGCCAGCCAGTGATGCAGACGACGGGGCCTCCCCATTGCACCCTGCCGACAGCGGTGAGGGCGCAGTGTGGCGCGGGCCGTCGCCCGAGGGGCAGGAGGCGCCGCCAGTGCGCCGCGCGCGAGACCGCCCCGCCCGCGGCGAGCGCAGCGCAGGACGCGGATGTTGATTCCGACGACGGCGCCGAAGGCGGGGGCGGCGGCCTTTGCCCCCAGCAAATCCACGATGCCGGCTGCGCATTTGAAGAGGCCCTTGCCCGCCACTCTACGGGGGCGGAGCCGCGAAGCGCGCGCGCGCAGATCAAAGCCGCCGTGGATGCGTTGCTCGACGACGAAGACAAGAGGGCGGGCATGAGCCCTCTTTGCCACGCCGCCTGGGCGGCACACTTGCCGCGAGTCCGCGAGATAGCGCCGCTTGCGGGACCTGAGCGCGATGCGGCGGTGGCGGCGAGCCAGACGAGCGACGCACTCTTGCAAGAGAGGCGCGAGGCGGCGTTGCAATTTTGGCGAGAGCGCAAACGAGTGACGGCTTCAGAATGGAAGGCGCCGCCCGGCACGCCGCTACCGCGAAGCACCGGCGGAGAGCGCGGTCGGGCGAGGCACGCTATGCGAAGTTACCATGGCATGTGCGCTCCGTCCTTGGGCCTGACAAGAACTTGTTGCTTTTGGCCGAAATGATGCAAGCTGCAGGGGTGACCAGCGACGCAGCGCGCGCGCGCGACAGCGGGGCGCG